TCACCCCCTGGGACACTTACTGGTCACCTATGAGGCCCAGCCCTGAGCAAGAGAGAGGAAGAAGTGAACCCAGTCAATCCCTGGGGCCCCCGAGCACCACCCAAGGTGGCTAATGGGTACTGTGAGCATTGGGAAAGCCTCCACAGACAGGAGATATTTGCCAGGTGGAGGAGAGAACAAGGTCCACATTTCAAGAAGAGCAAAGCAGCATCAATGAAATGGCACCCCCAACTGCACCTTGGGTTCAAGGCTTCCTGAACAGAGGAGCCTGCCAGCCAAACCCCAGCTGTGGGAGAGGCAGTGGCATTTCAGAGGGTGGTCAGGGAGGAACCCTCAGAGGGGTCGCCCAGGCTGGAACCTGAATGAGGAGCCAGCCAGGCCAGCATTGGGAGCTGTAGGCCAGTAGGACCCCAAGAACCTCAGGGAGACTGGGTGGCTGGGCGGAGGGAGAGCTTGGTCATCTGAGGTTTTAAACAGAGGTTTGCCATAATCTAATTCCCAATTTTTGAAAACCACTCTAATGACCACGGAGGCAAGAAGGGAAGCAGAGAAGCCATTTAGGCTTCTGTGCTATCCGACGTGGAAGCTGAGGGTGTCTCAACAAGAGAGGTGAGGCCAGGAATGGAGAGAGCAGAAGGATATGGGAGGAGCAAGGGCAGTGATGAAACCCCTCCAGGTATGGGTCACAAGGGAGTGTTAGATACGACAAGGGTCTCAAAGTCTGGGCAGTTCTTACTACATGCTAAAATGCAGCAAAAGCATGTTGCAAATGAACTTTACTGGAACCACAGCAGGGTAAGTTTAGCTAACTGCAAAGAACGTATCAGCTTGTAATTAACCAGTCAGTGCATATAGGCAACAGCTTTGGAAACCACTCCCCTGCCTCCTTTACTTGTCACAAGTAAAAACAAAAACTTTTTCTTCCAACAAGATCTGCGTTCCTTAGGTGCAGGTACTCCAAGCCACGAGCCCTCTGCGTTGGGTTACAGGAGCACTCTGGGTGGGGGAGGGGGAGGGGCGCGAGTTTGTTTGGAGCAGCGCAGGTCGGGGATGCAGCCGCCGGGTGCCTGCGCCGAGCTGGAACGGACCAGCGGGAACGACCGGACTTGGCGGAAGAACTGCCTTGGAGGAATGGGACCAGCAGGCCCACCGCTGAGCCAATGATCCCTGGTCACGGAACAAGACGAGGACCGAGTGACGTCGGGTGGGCGACAAGTCTCCGCGCCTCTACGCCTGCATCCTCCCCCGTCACCGCAGCCTCTGGTGACCAGGATGTCAGCTCCCGGCTGGCCAACCCGTCCCACGCCACCGCCTACGGTCCGGCCCACCTTCCCTCCCGATGCCGGACGCTGCTGCCGCTTGCACCCCTCGAGGACCAGACTACCTCAATTTACGCGAAAAGGACAGTGCTGCCGGACACCGAGCCCACCCTGGCACAGTTCGTTGGCCCCAAGAAGCAGGTCTCTAGCACCTACACCCTTGCCTCCGCGTCCCCACCCCGTTCTCCTCCCGGCCCCCGGCCGCCAAGAGAGCCCGTATGCCAACTCGCGTCCACGCTCACCCGGTACGCGAACTTCATCGCGACCGCCGCACGTGCGCCGCCACACAGCCTCGGTGCCCCGTTCGCTGACCTGCAGCAAGAACTTCCGGGCCGGCCGCGACCCCACGCCACAGCGCCCCCACCGGCCTGGAGGTGAGGCACCGCCACAAGCGGGGTCCCGGCCCCGAGCACGCCCACGCCCCACCCCAAGGCGGAGCCTGGGCTCCAGGTCCGCCCAAACCGTAATTTGAGATGCATGGCACGCCCAAGCCCTGGCGGAGACAGTCGGCGTTCCCTCCAGGCCCCGCCTATGCCCCGCCCCGAAGCAGACCCCGCGCCCCGGCCCCGCCTACTCCCCGCCTCAGGAGAGAGCCTGAGTCTCTCCCCGGCCTCTCACGCCCCGCCCGGAGGTGGAGCTTGAGCCCGCGGGCCGCGCCCCCATCCATCCCCGAGCCGGGCACTTCTGCAAGACCCTGCTCCACCCGCCACTCGGACCAGCCGTTCGCAAACTAAGGACGGTGAGAAGATCAAACCCTCGCGCTTATTTAATAGCTTTGGATTATGAAAGGAGGGCCAAAAGAAGAATAAGTTGGAAACCACATTTTTCCGAAGAAATTATATTAACGATGCTACCTACCAAACAAGGCAATTACCTTGTCAAACGTTGGGTTTGCAAATGTCACACACACACACACCCCCCACACCCCCATACCCCCCCCAACCACACCACCCCACCCCACCCCCGCCCCGAAACTCAAATGTCTTAGTGCTTGTGAGCTACAGGGTAATAAATTAAGAAAGAAAAAATCCCCGATGCTCCCCCTAAAGCGAATAATCTACGATTAGAGTCAGAAACAAGGATCGGGGAGAGAAAACAAGAAAATTCTTTAACTCAGCAAAAGAACGAAGTTCCAATCAGCAAAGTTTCTTCTTAAAACGTGTATTTTCAGAATTATAATGCTTACATTTTAAACAGTCTTAATACAATGGTTTTAGTCTAACAATATATTACAGAATAATGTGAAAAATGACTTTCATAGTAAACCATGAAAATGGAATTAATACCTGCAGTGTCAAAGTCACCAACTTGTCACCTTTTCCAGTCACTGAATCTCAGCAAATTCTACCAACAATGCTTTCTGGTCTTATAATAGCCTAGTATATAGGATGAATAAATTTAGAGAAGGGGGCATTTTCATGAAAAATCAAATTTTAAAATCATGTAGGATTCAAAGATCACAGTTAACAGTGAAACTTTTATATTACCCTAGTTTGTTCTTTTATAAAAAGTACTTAACATTTCATTTTATATACACACCTGGAGTGTTTAATTTTATAACAATCTTATTTTAAACATTAAAGAAAAATTTAATAGAAGCCTGTGTTTATTTTCTCTACTGGCTCTTTATGGGATATCTATCCTCATCAACTTAGTAATTTAGGAATCCAACCCATTACGGCCTGTGCTGACAATGAAACTGTAGGTAGAAGTCATTTTCAGATTAAATACAACAATTTTCACATTAGAATCAGAAGAGTTATAATTTTTCCAATCATAGGAGACCCCATGAAATTCACCAAAATTATAACTTCCTTTTCCTTTTGCTAATATTTACATTTCCACACATTTGCAAAGTAGCTGCATATTTTTTTTAGATGCACATTCTATATCTGGCTTCATAATTATTTGACAGCTGCTACATCTTTATGAGCAAAACCAGCTTGTCTCAAACCCATAAGGCTTATTTTATTTTAAACACAACAAAAAATCCAATTATACCCTTTTAGTTAAAAAGAAAATAGCGGTTTAGGTGACCTTCTTTTTGTAAGAAACAAAAAGAAATTTTAAAAAGGAGGCATTCATGGAACTTATATTGCAAAAGATCTTTTGTGTAGTTAGGGTAAAAAAAACAAACCCATGATAAATTTCATTAAATTTCCAGACAGTAAGAAACCACCATAAAAATTTTGGATTTCCCCTTCATTTTTTCCCTTTAAATCTATATAATTAGAGAATTTCATCCTGGGATTAGAGCTCAGACACAAAAATCAAACAGAAATAAGGTTACCTTTAAACCACACTGTCCCTTCCAGAAGGAAGAAAAGCTACATTACACATGGAGGCAGGGTTTGTCCCCATAGCTCTGAGGCTGACCACAGGGATTAGAGCTTTTCTGACAGAATCAAATCTCAAAGGTCTCTTCATTCACAGGGCTTAGTAGATATGTAGGGCAATCATCAATTTTTATAATAAACTTATTTTAGAAACCCTAAACCATCATTTGATGCTGAAGTTCTAATTTGCCCAACTAGTTGACCAAGGTTATTAGTTTTAAACTGCTCATCAGGAAAACAAGTTTCTGGAAATTTTTATGAAACACACAAATATTTATCTTCTTCACACACTTCTCCAATTTCTATAAATGAAAAAAACACGAGGGGGAAACCTTTGTTTGTTGAATGGGTTCATAGACAACCTACAGAAAAGTGATGGCAGCTGCTCTGTTATGTATGTACTGGTCTGACCTTGTTTACCCTCACGCCGCCAGCCTCTCTCAAGCAGGGGACAAGCCCTGGCCAGTAGCAGCTGCAGGAGGCTCCTTTTTCGGTAAGGCTTACACATTTGAGGTTATTCACATGAGGCCCCATCCTTACTTGCACAAATCTGGTCAAGTTCAATGCTAACCATACTTTCCCAGTGAATTAAGAGTTCTCTTTTTCATATGTACAAAAATACATTGCTTTGGAGAGCTGGAAAAGGTTTAATACATACAACACTTATTTACAAGCTGTGACTTTCACACCAATAAAAACAAACACATATTTATTCTGTCCTTGATTTTTGGTGCAACTTATACATAAACATTACATCAGTTAGTTCGTACTTTTAAAAATAATAAATCAACCATATGTACAATTACATTTACAACCGAAAGCAAATTAATCATGTTGGTATGGTATGACTGCAATTTAGTGGACCAGCAGAGAATACTCCAAGACTTCCATCCTTCCTACAACCAGACTAGAAATACACTGAGAGGACCCCTCTAATCAGCACTTAAATGGAAACTCTTAATTTCTAAGATTTAAGGTGCAAAAGAAAAATATTGATTATACAGTTACAATTACATGTAAAGACTCTAAGTTTAAAGGTGAGAGAAAACACAACATATTTACCCTCACATATATAATTAAAATAAATATATATTTAATTTCAAGTGCATATGATATTCAATCAACATTATGAGGGAAAAAGGGTGCCAGAAACACTTATTCCTGAACTGTTTCAGTACTGAGCTGCTTGTTCTTTAGGCCCTGCTCTAGTCTTCTTAAGGTACCTTCAAAACGGCTCCAGCTAATGGCTGCTCCAGGTCCACCCAGTTTGACATTCCAAGGCACAGAAGGGGTCTTCCCTCCCCACCCCGCCCCTTAGCCCCACCTACCTGCCCTAAAAGGGTGTTTTTCTAGAAAAGCACAACTAGATGAGCTGAGGTAAAGGACTATGTTACTCCTTAGGAGACTGACAAATCCACCAGGTCCAGAAAATTGGGCAGCCGTGTGACCGGAAAGGCACACACGTGTCACTGATAAGACCGCAAGGCCTGCTGAGTGTCTCCCTGGAGGACACACAACCCCCGTGAAGGACCGGCAGACTGAAGGCCGCCCGGTGGGAGACCCCTCTAAAGGGCGCGCGTGGGCAGGGAGCGAGGGGTAAGGAAGCGGGCTCTGGGCCAGCACTGGAAGACACCAGCACAGGGACAGGGGGATGAGAAAGTAATAAGTGACCTTACACCACTGACAACACAAACTTAACGTAGGACTCTGCTGGCCAACCGTGCACTGAGACCCCTGTGGCCATGCAGAGTCCCCAGGCCTGGTTAGAGCTAGAATGTTACAATGGAGAACAAGCGAGTCAGGATCCCGTCGAGTGCATTCACACAGGGTCTGGGCACGTCAGCCGAGGAGTGGTCATGTGACACTGACTTCAAGAACATGGTCATCTTTGCTGGGGATGACCAGGATCTGCGCGCCTGTGCTGGAGTTGAAGACCTGGCCAGGCGGCAGCGCCTGCAGCCGGGGCATGGGCAAGCCTTTGTGCTCGCTGCTGGCGGCCGAGTGCACGCTGCCCCTGCTCTTGATGCTGCTGCTGTCCAGCTGGTCATCCACATGCTTGTCCACTGACAGGCTGTCGTTTTCTATCCAGCTATCTGCAAAACACACAGGAGGTGAGATACAGGCCGCACAGCCACGGACCCTTGACCTACCACGGGGAGGAGCAGACCACCCAAGCCGACCTTCGGTGCAGCAGCAGGCTGCCTGAGGCAACCCCTCAGGGGACCCTAGCACATGGGTCCTCAGAGGTCTGAGCTCCAGAGCAGGTGCCTAAGGCGTGCAGCCCTGACCAGGTTTGGGTGTTCGACTCCACTGGCTCGGGGAGCATGCTGGGATCAGCAGGCCTGCTCCCTGCACCAGTGAGTCCTTACCAGCATCCAGTTGTGAGGAGTGTGCAGAGTGATGCGGGAGGTACTTAAACAGCCTGACGTCGGGAAGGGGCAGGTAGCCCGCAAACAGGGGCATCACCTCCATGTGGACTCTGTGCGTGGCCTGAGCGACCACAGGCATGGAGATGACTCCGGAACTTTTCCCGCACACTGCCCAATTGCTACTGTTGTCGACCACTGAAGCAAAGAGGGAAACACTATGTTACCCTGGAAAAGGCCAAGCATATCCATTTCAAAATAAAACCATCAAAAGTCTCACTCTCGGTATAAAATCCCACACTGGGGCACAGGTCTCCGTCTCTACGTCTTGTGACTGCACCTTCCAGTAAGACACAAATGGCAGAGTAACAAAGACACATGGCAATGCCTGGGGAAGTCACTCTTCTCATCAATAAACTATCAAGAATTCAATTCTGATTTAAGTGGCCTTGCAACCTGTGTGTGTGATTCTTCAAGAACATGGCTGCCTGGCTGCTGCAGGAGGAATGGAGGCGGGGCCAGGGGTGGCATCTTCTAAGGGGTGGCATCAGAGCAGAGGGTCTGAATCCCAACTGCCACTCAGAGTCTAAATACACAGCATTATTATTAACACAACTGTGTGTAATCCAGCGCAATTCAAACGACCCGACTGATTAGTCACTCCAAAGTACATAGGACAGCATCCTTGTCCTCAAGATGCAGAAGACCTTGTGAAGAGGTCACAGCAACTGGGTCATGGGGATGCAAGGCCAGAGCCCAGGAGCATGTGACTACAAGTTCCGCAAGCAATAAAGAAGGGGCTGCAGAGGTGGGTGTCCTGCAACTGGGGAAGCCTTTCAGGACACACAGAGGCGTGCAAAGGACACACAGCATCCGAGAGGGACACACTGGGGCAGCGGTTCCCACAGTGGCATCAGCAGGGTAGACTGAAGCTATTTTCACACTCCTGCCCAAAGTACTCATCTTTTTCTAACTTTGGGAAATGACTATAGACTCATAAGAAGCTGCAAACAACAGAGGGAAGCCCGTGCACCTATCGCCCGCCTGCCCAGCCTCGCGTCTCCAGGACGCAGGACACGGGTGCTGCCCAGCGCAGACACCGGACTGCTGAGCTCGCCACGCCTTCGCCCGCCACGGGGACTCAGCCTTGAGTTTTTGCAGACATTTTCTTGAAAATTAATGACATGAGCGTGCCACTGCAAAGAGGTGGCCAATGGCACAATCGGAAACTCTCATGAAAAATTAGAATTTTGGAAAATTTGCACTTGCTATTATAAACTTGACTGTGTCCCTATAATCAGACTATCCCGATGAATTCAATGTGAGCTTAAAACAACGTGAACTTGTGACAGTGCATAATGGAAGGTACCGACATTGAGAAGATCTGCGTAACTCAGGTGCCCACATGACTGATGCACAGATGGGCAAAAGCTTTTCGAAGTGTAAGACAGAAAGATTTAATGAAACCCAGTACAAAAGGGCTATTCTGTGAGCTCTGATTTTGCATAGGATCTAGCCTGTAAAAAACTGCCACTTGTCAAATTTTGGTGCAGCATCAAAGGAGAACATCTAGTTATATGAAGGCTGTTAAAATATTCCTCCCATTTCCAACTACGTGAGCATGGGAGGCTGGGGTTTCTTCGTGCACTTGACCGATACTTGTATATCACCGCAGACTGAACGCAGCAGGCGGGGAAACGCAAATCAGCTCCAGGAAGCCCGACCTTAAAGATTTGAAAGAATGCAAAACAATGTCATTCTTTCACTACCTTTTTTGGAAAAATTTGTCTTGGAAAACAGTTCTGTTATTTTTGAGTAAGTAAATAAATATTTGGCCCTTTTATCTTTCTCCCTCTTGATCATTTTTTAGAGAATTGAGGGTCTGGACACCCAAAGCTGAGACCCGCTACTGAAGGACCCAGGCCCCGGAGAAGGCGGGCTGCGAAGGAGCGTCTGAGCAACCAGCGATGGGGAGGCCTGCGGGCATGGGTCACTGCGGGGGTCACGGTGGGCGTGGGGGAATATGGAAATGGGATGGAGGGACACTGCGGGGAAGGGGCAGGAGCCATGATTAGAGGACACCTGAGCTGCTAAGCGGAGGTGAGACTTTGCTTCAGGGGCGATGCGAAGACCCTGAATCCCAGTAGAAAGGAAAAGGCAGCTCCAAGTGTCACCTGGGCTCAGCTCCGAGCCCAACAACTCCTTGATCATACTTGTTAGGAGAATGGCTCCAGAACAACCAAGTTTAACTTCCTGCAAGCCTGGGGCCACATTGCAAAATAAAACATTCAATGAGACCTTTTAATTCTGGAACGTTCTTGCTTTGGACAAAGAACACTACACTTTGTGAGAGAGAGCAAAGTCGCTTAGAGCACTGGATTAGCACAACAGTGAGGAAAAAAGAAGCCTCTAAACCTACCTTCATACATGAGCTTGGTGGAAAAATACTCGTCAGATTCTGTCAGTGCTTCGTCCCTGTCCACCTCCAGGAGGTCCGAGAGGCGCGTGATGGACACCTCCAGGGCGCACAGTGAGCCTGTCCTACAGAGCTCCGTCCCCGCAGGTGGCAGAATCTCAGCTTTGACGTTATACAACGTCTGGGCAAGAAAGGGGGAAAAAAGGACAAAGGAGATGTATCACACTGAGGACAAGTCTGAAAACATGGGTTATAAGGCAGACAAGGCGTTGCCCACAGATTCGGAGAACGGAGGAGGTGTCTGCGCAGCTGCAGTGCCCATCTCCAGCCGGGCAGCTGCGCACTTCCTGCGCACGACGCACCGTTCTGGGGCAGCCCTGCTTCAGCGAATGCTGAGCGGTTTTGAGCACGCACAGCAGCACAGCACTCTCTGCGAGTCAGTCACCTAAGTTCCAGGTTATGGACATTGTGTTCATTTGCTTCCTCATCTACCCATCCACATTGATGTAGGGTATTTTTAAGCAAATTCCAGGCAATCTGTCATTTCCCCCATGTATACTTCAGTATGTATTACTAAAAACAATGCCATTATCACGACTAGTAAAATTAGCATTAGTTCCTTGGGGTCACCCAATATCAAGTCATAATCAACTTTCTCTTCAGTGCTTCCTTCTCCATGACATGTCTACCTGATATGCATGCCTGTACACACTCGTCCAGCACTGACCTGCCACCCAAAGAACTAAAGTCTGCACAGGGGCCCGCCTGCCGCACGCCGCCAGTCCCACTTGTGAGGGTCAGCCTCTTTCCTTCAGGATACTGTCGAGAGTGTGGCTCAGCTGCTCCCTGGTACTGCTGCCTCACCTTCCTTCTGTTTGGCCCAGCAGCTGGCAGGGACCCTAAATTGACACTGGTCCCTCATGCAAGCCCTTCCCTAGATCAGTGATTTTCAACCTTTTCCATCTCATGGCGCATATAAACCAACTATGCTCTTTTGGCTGGAACTGACCGATTCGGCCCTAGCCCAGGAACCTCAAAGCACTCCACCCACAGACCCTCATAAAGGTGCGCAGAGTACCCCCGCCAGGACCCGTGACTAATAAACTGCCCCGCTCCAGTTGCCTTCTGCGGCCTGCTGTTGAACGCAGCTCACCGTCCAGCAACCTGTGCTCCACCACTAGCTCTTCATTTACCCAAGGCCTCACAGATATCTAAAGTAATCACACTACAATTTGATTTGAACTGTTCTGTTGGTGTTAACAAATGTTCAAAGGAAAAAGACTTCAGAATTCTAGAGAGCCTACTGCCGAGATGACACATTTTTCTGGGCGCTGACGAGAATAAGCAGGAACCTGACGGGCCTCAGTCGGTGACGTGCCCATCAAACAGCCCGTTATGACGGCCTGGGGTCGGGGCCGACTTCTGATCTGAGGGGCCGCGCCAGGATTGCCACGCTCTCCAACTGGACATAAAAGATGCCTGCACGGGCGGGTGCAAAGGGACACAAGCCCTCAGGCAGGCAATGAGATGTGTGCGTCTGTGTCTGGGGGGACACAGCGGCGGCCGACAGGTGAAGGAGGGCTGCACAGAGAAGGACAGCACCCTGCAGAGCGGCCCAAGGCGTCCCCTGCTCCCAGGAACCCCTGGCGGGGGGGCGCACAGTCTGCTCTGTTTCTGAGCGCTGCGGATTTTCCTCAGAGCTTGGACAGAAGCGCAGTTACAGAGTGATAGAGGTGAGCGTGCCCCTGAGTGCGCGTCCTCGGGCACCCCTCCCTGGCTGCATGTGGGAGGAGGACAGCGGCCGAGGGGAGGCACGGGACCGTCGGTTAGCAGTGAGGTGCCTCCCACACCTGACAGCGGCTGCTGAGGCTTTAGGACAGTGCTAGAGTTTACTTCTAAATAAGCCTCCTCAGAAATAAATTCTAACATTTATGGCCCACTGATTATCAGTAAGGGTGCCAAGACCATCCTATGGGGAGAGAAGAGTGTTTTCAGCAAATGGTATAGAGACACCTGAATAACCGCATGGAAAGAATGAACTTGGACCCCCATCTGTCACCACGCACACAAATTAACTCAAAATAGATCGCAGACCTCCATGTAAGAGCTAAAACTGTCAACTCTTAGACGAGAACTCAAAGGAAATCATTTTGACCTTGGGATAAGCAATGATTTCTTAGATCCTACACCAAAAGCAAGAGAAATAAGAGAGTTTGGTTCGTTGGACTTCCTCAAAATTAAAACTTTGTGTTTCAGGACACCATCAGGAAAGTGAAAATACAACCCACAGAATGGGAGAAAATATTTGCAAGTCATCTCTCTGATAAAGGACTGATATCTAGAATATGTAAAGAGCTCTTACAACTCAGTAATAAAAAGACAGCCTTATAAAAAATGGGCAAAGAACCTGAATAGACATTTCTCCAAAGAAGATATATAAACTGCCAAAAAGCACATGAAAGTTGCTCAACATCATTAGCCAGCAGGGGAATGCAAATCAAAATCACGAGATACCTCTTCACATCCACTGGGATGGTCATAATAAAAAAGACAACAAAAACAAGTGCTGGTGAGGAGGTGGAAACTGGAACCCTCACACGTTGCTGGTGGCACCATAAAGGGATGTCTCTTTGAAGGACAGTTTAGCAGCTCTGCATTCCCCGCGCCCCCCCAAAAAACAACAGAGTTACCAGATGACCCAGCAACTCCAACTAGGGATTTACCCAAGAAAACTGAACACATAAATACACAGAAAAACTTGCACAAGGGTTTCCTTGGCATTGTTACTCACAGTATCCCCAAAGTGGAAACAACCCAGATATCTAGCCACTAATAACTGAAAAACAAAACGTGGTCTACCTACACAATGGAATATTATTCAGCCATTAAAAGGAATGAAGTTCTGATCCTGCTACAAAATGAATAAACCTTGGAAACACTATTCCAAGTGAAGAAAGTCAGGCACAGAAAGATCACACATAGTACGTCCTACTTACATGAACTGTTCGGAACAGGCAAACCCACAGACAGATTTGCCTCCAGGCTGGGACAGCCTGCGGTTGAGAAGAGGACAAAATGGGGAGTGACTTTTAACGGGGCACATGGTTTCTTTTTGGGAGAATGAAAGTGTTCTAGAATAAGATTATGGTAATGGCTGCGCCGCTTGTCAACATACGACAATCAAACTGTACCCTTTAAACAGGTGAACTTCATGGTATATCGATTATAGCTCAATAAAGTTTTTAAAAAAGTGGTATCCACATATCTGGTCCTCAGATTATGTTTTGAAAAAAATAATTCACCATTTTTCAATGGCCTATTACTCAGCTTGTACAATTATAAAGGAAAATTTTTCTATATTCTTTATGAGAAGAGGAAGCAAAAAAGATAAAAGTACCAGTGAAAACTGCCAACTCATCTGTAGTAATCAAATAATCATCTGTAGTAAGCAAAGCTGATGAAATTTCTGCAGATTCTCCCATATGAACAATTTAATATTCAGCTACTATTAACACATCAAAAAGGTACCTGTTTGTACAATACTACAAAAAGAAAATCATGCCAATGATCATGTTTAACACTAAAGCTAATCATACAGAGAGTTAAATAAAACAGAAGACTCAAAACAAATAGTCTTTCGGTTGTAAGGAGGTATTGAAGATTGTTCAACACAAATACCTTTTCCAACAAAGCGTTGTTCGACAATTTCAGCAGTAAAGAGGAGAAAAGGAAACACCACAAAATTGTGGATAATTGACCCTTGAAAAATACAAGTTTGGACTATGCGGGTCCACTTATACATGGGTTTTTTCCCCCATAAATACTGTGAATGTTTCTTCTTTATGATTTTCTTAATAACATTTCTTTTCTCTAGCTTACTTTATCATAAGAACACAATATATTGTATAATACATAACATACAAAATATGTGTTAATCGTCTGTTTATGTTATCAGACTTCTAGTCAACAGTGGGCTATTGGAAGTTAAGTTTTGGCAGAATCAAAAGTTATATATGGATTTTCAACTGTGTGGGGGTGGGTACCCGTAATCTCCCAAATTGTTCAAGGTCAACTGTATTTTCATTTTCATATACCTAACACAAAATCCAATAATCTCACTAAAGAAACAAAAGCAACAATCTACGCCCCTAGCTCAAGGCTTCTTTTAGCTCCATGCATAGGTCTTAAGAAAATCTTCCCAATATTAAGTAAACTTCTATAACATTTTGTTTTTCCTTTAGAAAACTAGATACGTCTTTATAATGCAAACCCCCAGTGTAGTAGTTAATGATCAAGATCAAAGTACTCTAAGAAATAGTTCCAGAACATTATTATGTCAACTAAGGAAGAGAAGGGAGATGCAATAAGAGGTCTTTGGTCCTTTTCTTAAAAAAAAAAAATTGTTTTTAATCCTCACCCAAGGATACATTCACCAATTTCAGAGAGGAAGGGAAGTGAGAGGGGGAGAAAGAGAAAGAGAGAAACATCAATGTGAGAGAGAAACATTGATCAGCCACCCTCTGTATACGCCCCAACCAGGAATTAAACCCACAACCTAGGCACATGCCCTGACTGGGAATCAAACCCACAATCCTTTGGTATACAGGATGACACTCCAACCAACTGAGCCACCCGGCCAGGGCAAGAAGTCTTTGGTCTTTATAGTTATCAACACTCATCTTAGAGCTGCCAGAAATAGTGCATGGGTACCAACATGTCACCTGAGAAGGACCGGGGTTCAAATACAGCCAGTCAGTGATTTACCTACTCCAAGTGTTAACTATTTTCCTTATCTGTTGCTTCATTATACTGAAGGATTTTGTCTGACTTTTTAGGTTATAAAGAGTATGATGCAAACCTTTTATGTTCCCACTCTGCACTCCCCCCCAAAAAAATAATTCAATACATACAAAAAAATTTTCCATTTGAAATTCATAAGTATAGGGCTTTAGGGAGATGGACAGTCGTTCCTCAGAGGCTGGGCGGAACCCCACGGAGAAGCGGGCACGCAGCGAAGGGGGCGGCTCCCGTGTCCATGCCAGCTCCCAGACGAAGAACACCGACTGCTGGCTGCAGATGTGCTGCAAGAGAGCCGGTTGTCATTGCACGGGGACAAAGCGACACTCCGCCAACAAAGCACACACACAGGGACAAAGCCACACTCCGTCAAAGGTGCACTTCACGAAGGGAATGTGGGTGAGATGAAGAAGCGACCCCACAGCGCCCCGGTCCTGAAAGCCCAGCGAGTGTTGCCCCAAGCCCTGCGCCGCCCCCCCCCCCCCCCGCTCCTCCTGCCTGCCCCCGCCCCGCGGCAGTCTGCACAAGGTTGGTAGACAAACTTTAACTTTGTAAGATCTCATATGCTCCACCGCATAGGAGATTAAAAAGCTTAAAGAACATTTATTAGTATATAGCATGCCATACATTTCCAGAATGAGAAATGCGCCAATCAATTCAAAGGACATCTACACCCATGCCCATTCCTTCGTGTTTAACAGGAAGTCACATGAGGAACTGGAGCCAGCCCGTGCCTGGCGTTTGCCCCTGCAGCACAGCCACAGGCTTGGGTGGTATTTGAAACTTGCCAAGTATAATCTGGGAAAAATCCTTTGAAAATGCTAAAGATCAGACACCCATTAGGAAAACTCTTGCTCTTCTAAACACTCAGCACTTACTGTCTAAAACCACATGCACATATGAACAGGAAAAGCACGGCCAGGATTCCACCTGGCAGTGTGAACGTGAACATGACCCCTTTACGCCAACACCTCTGGCTGCTTCCTGGGGCACAGGCAGGCTTTAATGATGGGCCGGCTCTCACAGCCACCATCCCCTGTCCACATGTGACTAAGCGTAAGCCTGCAGTTCCAGTAAGCTGTATGCAGGACAGGACAAGTGTAAGAATCCATTCTTCTGATGAGACAACACCAAATCCACTTCCTAATCTCTCCACTGCACCACTCAGCCCTCAGAGTGGGGGGTGGACACGCAGCCACTGCCCACAGCTGAGCTTCCAAGCAGTCTCGCATGTCCACGCTGTTTACGGATCACCTGCATCACCAGCGCGCTGTTCTCCATGTGGAAAGGCTCGCCTAACGCGCATTATCCCGCTCCCGTGACCTAACGCACAGCATCAGCATTCTGGTGGCTTGGGCATCACATGTGTGCTCTCCCACGCTCTGTTGAGTTTATGCTCAGTTCTAGAGGGTGGTTACCTGCTGCGATTCCACGTTCAGCGGCAGGAGCTGCAGGTCAGTGCTGTCCCCGATGTCTACAAGATCACTATCTGACAGGTGGAAGTCAAGTTCCGACAGATTCTGGATACAAACTTGAATATATTTCCTAAAGCAGAAAAACAAAAAAAAGGACTTTGACATTTAAGAACTTTATGAAATATATTTTTGCTTTGTTAAGAAGAACTTCGCTGGGCATCAAAAAAGTGACAGTAAAATTACTAAGACCCAGTTGTTACCTATATTCCTACTCTTGATTCACGTGTAAAAGGGTCTGAAAATACAGATCTCTGTGAGTGAGCCGGTTCTGAGGAAAAACTGATCAAACATTCTGATTCTGACAGAGGATTCTGACACACAGTTATAACCGAGTTCTCCAAACACGCAATAATAGATCACAGCGGGTTACAGAGGAACGAGTAGCGACCACAAGTAATGGTAACTCACTGAGAAACCAAATACAGGGTTCGCTTTAGTGTCTGTTGCATGTGAGGAGTTGTGAAAAGCTCATCTTAGAGGAACTCAAGTCTGTTTATTACTTATTAATGCTTTTAAACCATTAATATCTACAGTTCTCTCACTGAAATTTAAAGGGACAAAATGCTGCTAGAATAATGTTTCACTCTCAGTATGGTCCTGTCATTTTTGTTTCCAAATTACCCAAATAATGAATGGATGAAGCAGAAGGGGATGTTACAATGACAGGTCAGGTTCACCCAAGCCCAGTGGTCGATGTGAGCATCATCACTTCCGGGGACAAATGGATCCTGTGTCTCTTGATGCAGTGACATGTGAGGCACAGGACACCCCCTTGAGGACTCCAGCCTTTCCAAAAGCTGACTTGAATCTAATCAAGCCTCTACGGCAGTGGTTCTCAACTGGTGGCAACTGCCCCCCCCCACCCCCGCCAGGGGACATCAGGCAACATCTGGAGACATTTCTGCTCGTTGCACTGGGGGTGATCAGGATGGGGGGGTGCCACCAGCATAACGTGGGCGAGCTGCTAACACCTACAGTGCCCAGGGCAGCGCCCACAGCAAAGGCCATCTGACCCAAGCGCCGGCAGCGCTGAAGCTGAAGAGCCTGGCTGCAGAGGTAACCGGCAGGTCACGGGGAACCAGTCTAACACACCCAGGAGGGTGTGGCCAGGCAAATACAGAATGGCGGACCTTGTAGAGGACAACTGACCCACGTTTGTCAATGGGTCACTGGCTTGAAGAACAAGGGAAGGAAGAATAAAAGGCACTGATAATCACATGGAGCTTGGTTGGGTCCCACATCCCACAAACGAACTGCACAGAGTCACTACTGAGACAGCTGGGGAGCTCTGAGTATAGATTTGGTGCTGTAGGGGACAATGGCGTCATGGTCATCCAAGAAAACATGCCCAAGGTCACTGAGGCCAAGCTCTGAACAGCATGGGGCTCTGTGTCAAAGAGCCTGGGACAGCAGCAGAGCCTCCCTTACCGTGTCCCTGAGGACAGCAGAGCGTGTGTGGTCCTGAAGGGCATGCTGAATGTCAGCACGATGACGGTGGAGTAGATGGACCACGGGCATTCGATGGACACCTGAAGAGAGACAGAGGGACACCCATTCAGACCACCCACTAACAGCTCAGCCCCTACCACCATCCATCCAAGTCTGTGGTGGCTGCCAAGGTCCTACAGGCTTGATGGCTTTACAATTCCTTATTCAGAAGAGAAACCCCATTAAACCTTTGCACACACATACGAGAGACACAAAGCTACATATACAGTCAAGAAAAATGGATGTGGAACTGGCAGAATGTCCAGAAGCCACCAGATGGCCTCGGAGGCTGCGGAGCAGAGGCCAAGGCAAGCAGCACAAACCCTACCTCCCTCTCCTCATGCACGTGGCCATGATGCCTAATGTGTTTTATACAGCGCAGGCGGTTATGACAAAGCGCTTTTAATCACTATGTCCAGGTGACACTAATGAGTCACTAACTGTAACAACATTTAGTGAATTATCCAAACAATCCACGTGATGCTGAATGCCTAACTGAAACCAAATCAATTTGGGGACACAGTGGACCATGCTATTAATTCTAGTAAGAGCAGAAACCAGGCCTCAAGCTTCAATTTATACAAACAAATACACTCAGTACGGGAGACTCACTCTTTCAGCATGACTCTATGCAGTCATTGAAATAAATATCACCTTTGTCTCCTGAACTCTATATCCAGTAAGGGGAAAAATTTCAAGGACTGAAAAATACGAACATTATTCTTTAGGCACTGACTGGTCTGATATTCTATGCTATAATCTCTGAAAGGACTGCATTTCTTAGCCTTCTGTACATGCATTTTTAAAAAATCAGTTATTTAAACTAAAACAAAAAGCAAAAAACAGTCCACCCATATATCCCACCAGCAACCACCAATCTTCTCGGTACCTACGAGGTTAGTTTTGTTTTGTTTTTGATTCCACACTTAAGAGAAGTGATACAGTATTTGCCTTTCTCTCTCTGACTTATTTCACTTAGCATAATACCACTGAGGTCCATCTATGTTGTTGCAAATAGTAGGATTCCATTCATTCTGATGGCTGAATAATACTCCCCTGTGCATGCATGTGTGTGCGTGTGTGTCACTTCTTTATCCATTCATCCACAGGTGGACACTTAGGTTACTTCCACATCTTGGCTATTGCAAATAATGCTGCAATGAACATGGGGGTGCATATATCTCTTTAAAATAGTATTTTTCTTTTCTTTAGATAAAGAAATAGGATTCTTAGATCATATAGTAGTTCTAGTTTAAATTCCTTGAGGAACCTCGATACTGTTTTTCATAGTGGCTGCACCAGTCTACAATCCCACCAACGGTGCATGAGCGTTCCCTGTTCTCCACGTCCTTGCCAACACCTGTTTCTTGACTGTTTAGTAACAGCCATTCTGACAGGTGTTAGATGATACCTCACTGTGGTTTGGATTGCATTTCCCTGATGATTAGTGATGTTGAGCATCTTTTCGTGGTCAGTCGGCTATCTGTACATCTTCTTTGGAAAAATATCTATTCAGATCTTCTGCCATTCTTTAATTGGATTGCTTGGGGGTTTTTTGGTTTGTTTGTTTTGCTTTTGCTATTAAGTTATATGAGTTCATTATATATTTTGGATTTTAGCCTCTTATCAGATATATCATTCGTAAATATCTTCTCTCACCCAATAGATTGTCTTTTCATTTAGTTGATGGTTTCCTTTGCTGCAGAGAAGCTTTTTAGTTTGATGCAGTCCCACTTTTATTTTTAGTTTCGTTGCTTTTGCTTATGGTGTCAGATTTAAAAAATCACACCAAGGCCTATCTATGTCAAGGAGCTTACTGCCTATATTTTCTTTTAGGAGTTCTGTGGTTTCAGGTCTTGCATTCAAATCTTTAATACATTTTCAGGGTTTTTTTGGTGTAAGGGGTAAGACAGTGATCCAGTTTCATTTCTTTGCATGTGACTGTCCAAGTTTTCCCAACACCATTTATTGAAGAGATGCCTTTTCCCCTTGTATATTCTTGGATGCTTTGTCATAAATTAATTGATCATGTAAGTATGGATTTATTTCTGGGTTTCCTATTTTTCCCAATCATCTATGCCAATACTATGCTGTTTTAATTACTATCGATTTGTAACACTGTTGGAAATCAGGCAAGCATGAGGCCTCCAGCTTTGTTCTTTCTCAAATTTGCTTTGGTTATTCAGGGTCTTTTGTGCTTCCATACAAATTTTAGGATTATTCTATTTCTGTAAAAAATGCTATTGGAATTTTATAGGGATTGCAGTGAATCTGTATATTGCTTTGGGTGATAGGGACATTCTCACAACATTAAATCTTCTATTCCATGAGCATGGACTACCTTCCCATTTATTTGTCTTCTAAATTTTCTATTATTATTTCTTCTAGTTTTCAACATCAGGTCTTTTACCTCCTTATTCTTTTGGATGCAACTGTAAATGGAAGTGTTTTCTTAACTTCTCTCTCACAGTTCATTAGTACATAGAAATACAACAGTTTTGTGTATTGAATTTGTATCCTGCAACTTTACTGAATTATTTTATTAGTTCTACAGTCTTTTGATGAAGTCTTTAGGGTTTTCTATATATAAGATCATGTCATCTGCACACAGCTACAGTTTCCTTTCTCCTTTTTGAATTTGTACACATTTTATTTTTCTTGACTAATTGCTCTAAGATATCCCACACTATGTTCAAAAAGAGTGGTGAGAGTGGGCATCCTTTTCTCATTCCTGAGCTTAGAGAAAAAGCCTTCAGCTTTCCACTGCTGAGTGTGATGTGCGCTGTAGGGTTTTCATATATGCTCTTTCTTATGCTGAGGTACTCTCCTTCTATACCCACTTTGTTGAGAGTTTTTATCATACACGGATACTAAATTTTGTCACATGATTTTCCTGCACCTATTGAGATGATCATGTAATTTTGTCATTCGTTTTGATTATGTGTTATCACACTGACTGATTTGTGGATTTGAACCAACCTTGCATCCCTGGAATAAGTCCCTCTTGATCATGATATATGATTGTTGAATCTGGCTTGCTAGCATTCTGTTGAGGAGTTTTGCACCTATGATATTCAGGAACATTAGCCTGTAATTTTTTTTCCTATGGCATCCTTTTTCTGGCTTTGGCATCTATCAGGGTATTGCTGGCCTCCTAAAATGAGTTTGGAAGTGCTTCCTCCTCTTCTATTTTCTGAAAAAGTTTTGGAAGGATTGCATTAATTCTTCTGTGAATGCTTGTTTGATAGGATTCACCAGTGGGACCACCTGGTCCTGAACTTTTCTTGGAAGGTTTTTGATTACCAATTTAATCTCCTTACTAGTAACCAATAGGTTCAGATTTTCTATTGCATATGATTCAGTCTTGGAAAGCTGTGTATTTCTAGGAATTTAACCATTTCTTTTAGATTGTCCAACTCGTTGTCATATTAATTGTTCACAGTAGTCTCTTACGATCCTTTGTATTTCTGTGGTATCAGTTGTAACATGTTCTCTTTCATTTCTGGTTTTATTGAGTCCTCCCTTTTTTTTCTAGGTGAATCTAGCTAAAGGCTTGTCAATTTAATCTTTTCAAAGAACCAACTTACTCTTAATTTCATTTATTTTTGTTATTGTCTTTTTAGTCTCTCTCATTTATCTCTGCTCTAGTATTTGTTATTTCCTTCCTTCTACTAACTTTGGGCTTTGTTTATTCTCTTTCTGGTTCCTTGAGGTGTAAAGGTAGCTTGTTTATTTGAGACTTTCCTTGTTTCTTAAGGTAGGCAACTGTCACTATGGACTTCCCTCTTGGAACTGCTTGTGCTGCAACCCTTAAGTTTTGGTATGTTACATTTCTGTTTTGTCTCAAGGTATATTTTGGTTTCTCTTGATTTCTTTTTACCAACTGGTTATTCAGTAGTGTGTTGTTTAATCTGCACATATTTGTGAATTTTCCATTTTTCTCCATGTAATTAATTTCTAGTTTCATACCACAGTGGCTAAAAAAAGATGTCTGATATGATTTTAATACTTTTTTTTAAAAAAAGATTTTATTTAAGAGAGGGGAAGGGAGGGAGAAAAAGGAGAGAAAAATCAATGTGTGGTTTCATTTTGTGCACCCCCTGCTGGGGACTTGGCCTGCAACCCAGGCATGTGCCCTGCACTGGGAATCGATCCAGCGACCCTTTGGTTCGCAGGCCAGTGCTCAACCCATGTATTAAGACTCATGGCCTAATGTGATCTATCTTGGAAATGTTCCATGTGCACGTGATACGAACATGTATTCCTTTACTTCTGGATGGAATATTCTGGATATGTATGTTAAGTTGATCTGCTCTAACATGTTTAAGAGCAATGTTTCCTTATTGATTTTCTATCTGAATGGTGTATCTATTAATGTAAGTGGGGTATTAAAGTTTCCTACTATAATTGTGGACCCTGTATAACGAACCCTTTAGGTCCGTTAATATTGGATTTATATATTTAGTTACTCCTATGTTGGATACATAAATGTTTACAAATGTCATATCTTCTTGTTGTATTTGTCCCTTTTATCATTATGTAATGCCCATCTTTGATTCTTAGTACAGTCTTTGCTTTAAAGTCTTATTTTGTCTGAAATAAGTAGAACTACTCCAGCTTTCTTCTCGTTTCCATTTGCATGGAACGCTTTTTCCATCCTTTACTTTCAGTCTGTGTGTGTCCTTACACCTAAAGCGAGTCTGTTAATAGCCACGGGGATGTAAAGTACAGTACAGGAAATAACGCAGCCAAAGAACTTATATGTACGACCCATGGACATGAACAATGGCGTGGGGGTTGCCTGAGGGAGTGGGAGGTGCTGAGTGGAGAGGGGTAAAGGTGGAAAAATTGGGACAACTGTAATAGCATAATCAATAAAATATAATTTTAAAAAAACTAAGTCTGCTGTAGGCATATAGATGTGTCTTGATTTTATTCACTCTGTCTTTTGCTGAGAAAATTTAGTCAATTTACATTTAAAGTAATTACTGATAGGTATGTTCTTATTGCTGTTTTGTGGTTTTCTAGCTGTTTTTTGGGGAGGGGGTTAGTTCCTCTCTTCCTTCATTTCTTTTTCTTTTGCTCTCTTCCTTTGTGGTTTGATGACTTTTTTTACTGGTATCCTTAGATTCCTTTCTCTTTACCTTTTGCATATTTACTGTAAGTTTTTGCTCTATGTTTATATATAACAATCTACTTTAAGTTGATAAGTTTGATTACATTCTAAAGCTCAATATTTTTACTTTCTGCCCCACCACACTTTATATTTTTATGTCAAATTTTACATTTTTTTATCTTGTGTATTCCCTAATTATTGTAATCATTGTTATCTTTACTACTTTTGTCTTTTTAACTTTCATAGTAGCTACATAATCAATTATTCCACTACCTTTTCTATACGTCTACCCTTCCAGTAAGATTTCTTCTTTCATGTGTTGTTAGTGATTAGCGCCCATTCTTCTCATCTTAAAGAAGTCCATTTAATATCTTGCAAGGCAGGTTTAGTGGTGAAAAACTCCCTTAGCTTTTGCTTGTCTGTAAAGCTCTTTTATCTCTCTTTCGATCCTGAATGACAGATAACTTGGTCAGGCAAAGTATTCATAACTGGAAGTTTGATTTCTTTCAGCCCATTGAATATATTGATATTCCCTTCTGCCTGCGAAGTCTCTGATGAAAAATCTGAGTCTTATGAGGGTTCCCTGTACATAACAAGTTGATTTTCTCCTGGTGCTTTCCAGATTCTCTCCTTGCCTTTAACTGTTAACATTTTAATTATCATGTGTCTTGATGGAACTCTTTGGGCTTCCTGGATCTGAATGTCTGTTTCCCAGCTTAGGAAACTTTTCAGCCACTATTTCTTCAAACAAGATTTTCACCCCTTTCTCTCCCTCCTCCTTCTGGGGGCCTTATAATGCAAATGTTAGTCTGTTTGATGTTGTCCCATAAGTCCCTTAAGCTAGCTTCACTTTCTTTCGTTCTTTTTTTCTTTTGGCTGCTCTCACTGGATACTTTCCACTGCCTTGTCTTCCAGCTGTCAGGGCCCTTTCTCCTGCTTCATCTCGTCCGCTGTTGAACCCTCTCTAGTGGAATTTTTCAGTTCAGTTACTGTGTTCTCTGTGCCTTCCACTTGGTAGTTTCTTATATTTCCCATCTCTTTGTTGAAGATCTTACTGTGTTCATTTCATCTGTTCTTTCCATTTTGGTGAGCATCTTTCTAAACATCACTTTTAACTCTTTATCAGGTAAATTACTTAACTTCCTTCCACTGAAGTGTTTTCCCCTGAGGTTTCTCTTGTTCTTTCATTCGGAAAGTATCCCCATGTTTCTTCACTTTGCTCGACTCTGTGTTGGTTTCCATAGAGTAGGTGAAACAACCGCCTCTCCCATCGTGGAGTGGCCTCGTGCAGGAAGTGAAGCTTGTTTTTCAACCCTGTCTCAGCCGCTGGCTGGCTCTCAGACACCTGTGCCTGTGCAGCAGCCTACTTTATCCCTGATGGCTCCCAGTCACTGTGTGCCAAGAACTGTCAGTGTCCCAAAGAGAAGGATCTCACTCCCTAGATTCAGGTCGTCTAGAAGCCAGACCCTCAGGCAGCGTCTTTCAAAAGTATGCAAAATATACAGTCCCATGGAACCACAAGAACACACTTCTACACCTGGGCTGGCTGGAAGCCCTCAGAACCACTATCTGTGTGACAAGACACAAGCACGACTGGAATGAGCACAATGCTAGCGATTCACTTTGTGAGCTGACGGACTGCGGAGCAGGGAACAGAGTCGTAGGTCTCTCAGGTAACTGTCAATAAACACCAGCACCAGAGTAGAACTTGTTCCTTGCTACATTTGATGTGACATTTCTCATTTCAGACACTGAAGTACAGCAAGACAAAGAATTCCCTTTAGTCTAATTACCAGGACAAATGGATTACAGACCCAAAGGTACCTCTCCTAAGAAAACTCTCTCTCTCTCATAATAAACTGTCCTTCCCTCTTTAGTTGGAATAGAAAAGCTAGAGCCTGTTTGTCTTTGTCCTTCCAAGATGTGCTCCTTATATAAGGTGTGATTCACAGATATAAGTGCTAAACCCAACGAGAGCTCATGGCATCAGAACTGGAAATCTGCCACTGCAACGGGATTCATTGCTTATGTACCGTCTTTCAGAGCAAGCAGGACACGCGGAGGCCGCCGCCACAGGCCGAGCAGTTCCAGCCCCTCCTTACTTTGTGGTCCGTGGTAGCCATGCAGCAGCCAGCTTTCTGCGTGTCCTTATGCTTCCTTTGGGCCTCTGTCACCCCCAGCGTGTTGCTCTCCCCTCCAGCTGCTGGAGCTGAAGGTAAGGACAGGACTTCCAGTTCAAATTCGATCATGTGGTATGCAGGCGCAGCCGGCAGACTGATACTTGTGACTTTGTCGGACGACTGAACGCGGAGTGACGCCTCAGAAGCCTTTTCTAGGAAAGATAGAAAAATTCACTTCTAACACATTCCATCTGTTTCCTTGCTCCTTTTTCTTCCAGCAGGAGATGGGCCCAGTATCTACTCCTGCTGCTCCTGTGCACATAAAAGCATGTGGATTAGGGCAGGACGGAAGAGGCAGGAAAATCGGGAACTAACCCCCGAAGACACAGTGACACTGCATGAAAGCCAGCGGGTCCAGGCCCGAGAACGGTCATTGTGCTCCGTCTGGATACAGAAAAAGGGGACCCTCCCCATGTGGCCCACCCAAGTACTGCGTGTGTCCCTGCACAACGTGCTCCCGCGCTGTCACACTGCCAGACCAGCTCCCTCCCAGGAAGGGAGCAGCATCCTACCCCGCATGCCTCATGGCTGGAGGTCAGGGGACACGGGGCTTTTTAAAAAATCCTCACCCAACGACATTTTTTCATTACTTTTGGAGAGAGAGAGAGAGATGAAGGGAGACAGGAAGAGAGAAATACTAACGTGAGAGAGGAGCACCAACTGGTTGCACCCAGACCAGGAACCATGCCCGCCCAGACCAGGGAGCGCCCCTGCAACCCGTGTACGTGCCCTGATGGGGAATCAGACCCACGCCCCTTCAGTTACGGGACAACGCTCCTACCACCGAGCCACATCGGCCAGGGCAAGAGCCAGGACGTTTTTAGGGCTTCCGACCAGTGCCTAAAAAAGCTTACTTTTGGTTTTTGATGAGGGAATTGGGGAGGGCTGAAGGCCCATAGGGCGTCACTATCAATCATGAAACCACACTGCATCAGAAGTCCCAGCAAGGCACCGCCCGCTACTGAGCACATGCACAGCTCTCAGTATATCCCCCCACATGTAAGGCCCCATCCAGGGGCAGGGCCGCTGTCCACCCACAGGAGGGCAGTTGCCATGAAAGGGTCATCGGTAGAAGCAGGCTTCAGATGCTAACTGAGGATGAAGCGGCTGACAGACAGCTCCTTACATCCTCACGGTGCATGACAATGCCGAGGGTCCACCTGTGCCAGGTGACCGCCGCCGTACCTCTCGTGTTAGAATAGATCACTGCTCTGTTGTCTGCATGGCACAGGATGAGCATGGCTTCCACATTGCTGAGCTGGAGGCTGTCCCCGTTTTTTACTGTGTAATGGCCAGTAGTGACAGTGAACTTGACCTTCTGAGGAATACCAGCCAAAAGACTATCTAAAGGGAAAAAGACTGTGATTAGCATCACTCTCAACCAAAAATACCAATGGAGAACCTATTACGGGGCTAGACAGCATCGTTTCCTCTGCTAGAAAAGATCTGTTCACTTCAGCTACTTCTCAAATTCCCTGGTTCTTATCCCCCCACCCTCACTTTTCATCTCAATGACAGGGACTACAGGGCTGCGGGGCCCTCGCTGGGGCCAAGAGCATCTGTGAGCACGAGGGGCCTTATCACCACCTCGGGCAGGGAGTCAGGGACCACGGTGGTGCTGACACGGGGCTCAAATTTCATCTGCCAGTAAGTACGAAAGAATCGGATAATGACACTAACGAACCGACCAATGACACTGCATGTGTGATTGCTATTCTGAATTGTCTTTGGTGGTTTCAAGTTAGGCCTTCAAGATCTTTGGTTTTAAAACAGCACAGTTAAAGGTATAGCTTCTGGTTTGTCCTACATGGACATAAGCCGAGGTTTCGGAGACTCTCCAAGGAAGGCAGAAGGAAAAAGGCAAGAGATAAGAAACAAAAAGGAGAAATAAAGAGGCAAGACAGAGGGATGGCGGGCATGGAGCAGGAGAGGGAGGGAGGGCCGCAGGGCGGAGGCGTGAGCACAGCCGGTGGGTCTCACGGGGCATTTTCCAGGCCCTGATAGCAACAAAGCTTAGCCTCTTCCACAAAAGGTTCTCTGACTATAGAGTCATTTGAGACTGTTTTGCGTTCAGCATCTGAGGGCCTCTCCTGGGGGCCATGGGAGAAGTTTCAAAGCAGAAAAATAGAGAGTGTGGGGAGGTTACATAGAAAAAATGTTTTCCTTGATTTTTTTTCAAATGGAAGAAATAAGTCAATAAATATATTATTTTGGCCTAAACAACTGACACATTCACTATTACTATTACTATTCAATTAAGTGATGTGTGGTTTTAAGTCATTTGTTCTAATTTCTTCTAATTTTAGAACTTAACAAAATAGCAGCTTTGAACTTCTCAAATGTCATGCCAGGGGATCAAATTTAATCAATGCTTTCAAAGAAGAAGACTTTTGATCAGAGTATAGAATGTAAATAAATCTAGCATTTAGCCTTTCAAATAAAGCTCTTAGCAGGAACTTACATTTACTTATTAAGTTCTCTGCATTAGACAGTAACTGATAGCTAATTTTTCTTATGTTCTGATATGCATGTTTTATTAAACATGAAAGTCAGCAATAATAGAAAAGCATATATTTGATGAACAGAACAATCAGTCAGCTGATCCCCAGACAGGATTTCCATGATGCTACCCAAAAGGTGTTGTACACAACATACTGGAAGCCTGATGGTGCAGAAAGCCCTTCTTCATGTGGCTCCTTTGTAAAGGAGTGAAATGCAACCCGGAACAACCGCGATCCCAGCTTTGCACGGCCCACTCACCGGCCAGCGGCTCCACGTGCAACTGTGGCTCCTGGGAGTACACGTCATACTGTGCCAGCGGGTAGAGGTGCGGGAGGACGAAGCACACGGGGCCCGCCGAGGCGCACAGCTGCCGCAGCGTGTACGTCCCAGGCTCCTTGGCCTAGGGTCGAATTGAACGTCAGAAAGTCATCATCACCTACTCTCGTACCTGTGAGCGCCCTAAGAGCAGGCTGTGCCATAATCTCTGAAATGATCGTCTTTCTCGCCCTCCTTATCCCGCTGCTCTGTGCTCACACGTCTTGCACACGGGCTGTTCAAAGGGCCCTAAGCATCTCAATCGATGCCTGAGTGACTGGGGCTTGAACTTGACTTTATGCTTCTAAAAACATATTTTCAATTTAATAAACTTTATTTGTGGCATTCTCTTCTGAATGGAGCCATTCAGCATGAGACTTACGATCTGTGCTCAGACTAGACTAACACATGTGACAAACAGCTGTCCCTTCCACCAGCCACCTGCCGCGCTGGAGAAGGACACACCGCACTGGGGAAGGACTCGTGCCGGCGCGCACGGGAGCGACTGCTCTGACATCCGCGCCCTGCCACAGGAAAACGCAATTCCCCATAAAGGCTGTCACCGTCTTTGAAATGTCCCTTTAACAAGTGAGGGTGTATTTTAATATTGTATAGAGGCAAAATAAATCTAAACCTAGTGAGAACAAAAATGATTATGTTAAGAACTTCCTTCAAAACTTATCAACTGCCTTAAAACTGTAACTGTGTAATTATAAAAAAGAATTTAACTCTCAATTTTTCTTTAAGGATGAAAACACAACCAGGGTTAAAAGGGCAGAGGCCTCCGCTTGCCTCTGGTCGCACTTCAGACAATTCTTGCAAGCCGACGCCCCTTGCTACGCACCCTTGAAGTCAACTCGCCGTCTCAACACATACCTGCGTCCTGAACGTTATCGTGTTGGCCCCTGGTTCCAGAGTCACACCGCCACACTTCAGCACATGGGCCCCCTCCTCCAGAGCCACCCCTGAGGGCGAGTCCAGAGCAGCGCTGCTTTCCTGCCTTCTCAGGAGCATGTGAACGTTTTTGCATATAATCCCTGTGGTGTTCAAGGAGTTGTCAGAAGGGCTTCTCTCAAACATCTCATACAACTCCAGAGCCGGCAAACTGTTCTGAGAGGCCGGGAAAGGCAAGGTCTCCACCGGAAAGTTAATAATCCCATTAGACGTCTTGTGCTTGGTAAGCCACTCAGCCGTCTTCCGGTAGCTGTTTTTCTCAATGCTGAAGTGGACACTGATGGTGATCTGTTCCACGTGGACAGGGATGGGCATCAGACTGCACACGGTTATCTCCACAGACAAAACGCCGCCCACGTGGACCACGGCATTGGAGGGGGCAAAGCGGAGGTCTCTCAGGTGTGCAAAAGAATGCATAGGGAGTACGATTTTGTGACCTGCAAATACACATCACCATGTTTTTCTTCCCAAGTCACACTTCTAGAAGGTGCAGAGGCAGCAGGACCTTGGTTACCATTGGGCAGGCTGGAGTGCACTCAACGTGAGAAGCAAGAAGCAGTGAAGTCCAAATGAGACGGTTTAAAACTACCCAACCTCATACCATCTTCACACTCCAAAGAGATATTTTGTCAAAAGCAGAACATAAACACATGCCTAGATACCTCCTGGAAATCATAAAACCTGAAGGAATTAAGGTTTCTAAGTTTTGTTTTGACAAACTGAGGGTAACTACAGGTCAACTCCGCAATTTCAATACATCATGTTAAAACAGTCCAATTCCTAGAGCTGTTTCAAGGAATCCGACCTGCATCACAAAATTCCCTCATGAAAGTGCCCAGCCACCCTCAGTGAGCCCTGAACACCTGGAAGCAAAGCCAGGTGTCTGCCAGCCCGTGCCGCCAGCCCACGGGGCAGGGAGCCCTGCCTCCCGAGCCCCAGTCACTGGATGAGAAGAACCCACTGCTCCCTCAACCTCCTTTCTATGAGACCTGGTTTGTCTAGAAAATCCACAGGGCGGCCTAACTGAGCAGCAGTGTTTATTAAACACGAATCAACTACAAGCCTTGCTGACATTGCTGCTATATGATCACAGAAAAACAGCGGACAATCAGAGCGTGCCTCACTCAGAGATACCAAAGAACGGCGGCAGGAAAAGCGCACCGGCGGTCTCACACACGCCACGCACAGCAGACACGCACACGGCACCGCCAAAAACGACCAGTTGAGCACACTGAAGGATCTAAACAAACCAACAAACCAATGCCGTGTTGTTCCTGAGAAATCCATCCAAATGGCTCAATGAGAGTGAAACACATGCCAGCAGTCAAAGACCATGTCGTCCTGAAGCCAAAACCTGTGAAACACTACCTTTCGAGTAGTTAGTAACTGCTGTGGACTGAACTGTGTTCCCCCCAAATTCCTAAGTTGAAGCCTCAAAACCCCCTCTCTTCTTGCCATGTAAGGACAAGCCAGGACGAGAAGCCTCATGAGAAAGCACGCCTTCTGGCAGCTTGGTCTCAGACATGCGGCCTCCAGAGCTGTGAGACAATAAATGCCTGTCATCTAAGCATCCGTCCATCTGTGGCATTTTGTTATGGCTGCCAGAGTTGACCCAGAAGTATCTTAAATAAGCACTCTTCTTCATAAACTAAACCCAAGGAGCTAAATGTTACAATTATCTTACCACACAGCATTATCTATAAAATATATTTGCCAAAATGTTTAGCTTGAATCTAAGCCTTTTAGATCAACCTTCCTGTTGGACGCTCCCATGAGGACACACTAAACAAGTTCTAGAAGTTGGGACAGTCCATGAAACAACTGGCTTGAGGTCTGTAAAAAGGCAGTGTCTTACAACCAAAATGTCACACTACCAATGAAGGGATACACACGAAGTGGTCCATCCATACAACGAGGTATTATTCAGCCATAAAGAAAGAATGAAATATTAACATGCTACAACATTGGGGAATCTTGAAAACATTATGCTGAATGAAAGAAGCCAGTCACAGTAAAACACAAAAAATACTGCATGACTCCATCCATATGGAGTACCCAGAACAGGCGTTCACAGAGAAGGAGCACGGCCTGTGAACACACTGAAAGCCGCTGCACCACGCGCTGCAAACTGGTGAATGACATGGCTCGGAAATTCTGTCTCAACACAGCCGTTACGTTACAAAATTTTGGTCAGTGTCTTGAAAGAAAGAAAAAGATGGAAAATGCCATTCTGGGTTAAAACTGAGATACAACAATCAAATATATGATCCCTGATTAGGCTCTACTAAAAATAAGGTGATGTGAATTTGGGTACAGAGTACCAGAAAGTTAGAACCTTGTCAATTTGGGCCTGGTTAGGAGACTGCCCTTGTTCTCCAAGACACACGCTACACTGTTGCAGAGGAAAGTGTTACATGTGGTATGGCTGTCACTCTGAAGTTCAGCAAAAAGAAAAGACTTAAAAGAAAGGTATAGATACATGTTTGCTACAGCAAAATGTTACTGATTGTTGACTCCAGGTGGTTAGTATACATTGCACACTGTATATTCTCTTGACTTTCTGATAACATTTGAAAATTGTCATAATAAAATTTTAACAGTCTTACCTGGGCTATCTGCCTGTCGGCTGGCAAAGTTGAGTATCTCTTGGCAGAAATACTTCCGTTCCTCTTCAGTTAAGTGATGGTCGCTGGCTAAAAGGCTACTGGTCTGCAGGTAGCTGGGGTGCAGAGTCAAGGGGCCTGCGGAGAGGGCCTTACACCAGCGGGTGCTGCGTGCGAACAGCTTCTCCAGGCCCAGAGCTTTGACAGTGCAGTCCAACGGATAGCCATTGTGTGTGTGTGTAATTACTAGAAACTCTTATTTAAAAGAGACCAAATACGTGGACTGAGCATTTAACTTATATTCAACATGGTAACTCTGCACAGGCTGGCTTTTTCTCTAATTATTAGGTGTTTATTAACATTCAATTGTGGGCAGTGTTGCTGTTTAAACAAAAAAAACATTTTCCTCTTTCATGAAAATGCTGCACTTAAAGGATACTTCTCAATCTGTCCAAGGTGTTTCTGGCATTCGGCCAGCTGCTTCCTTGTGTGTGTGATAGGGAGCGCCCAGCCCTCGGCCAAGTAATTCTTCAGTGCCCCTTGAAGATAGCTCTCGGCCTTCTGTGGAGACTTTTTCCTCCTGGCAAATCAACAACCAGAAGCTTTCGTTACGGTTCATGATGATCCATAAACTCAAGTCATAATCTTCATGAGCTGCCCTCCACCCCGCTTCCAGACCCTGCACTGTGACCTCTGTACCATCTCAGACAGCCCTTCTCTGAGCGCTGCCCAGTCTGAGAAAGAGCGCCAGTCGGGAGTGCATCACGGGACCTGAGCGAGGGGCTCAGGGTGGGGACCCCTGCACTGCTTGCCCAGCATCGTGCCCTAGTCAAAGAACTTTCATAGAACTTGTGAGATGAATCTCACAAGAAGAAAGTGAGGGCACCATTCACTGTTTCAACCTGACATATAAGAACACCAAGGAAGGGAAGGTGGAAGGTTTGTCCACAGGTACACAGTTAATTAGGGAGGAGGCTACAAAAGCAGGGCTTGGTGCCACCTACCTACTGCAGATAAGGGAACTCAGAAGCAGTCTATATAACCAAGCTTATGCACACGACACTGAGCAGGTTTCCAAGACTTTCAGAGCACTACGAAGACTTTAAATAGCACCACTTATCACCCAAGAGAAGCTCTTCCCAATTTAAACCTTCAAGATGTTCAGAATAAAACAAAGCACAGTTGAAAGCACAATTAGCAAGAACCTGCCAAAGCCTCTATGACAACATGGGTCCCCTGACCCTCCCCAAAGGACTGGGACCATGGAACTGAGGGACAAAGGCTAACACTAAATAGGCATCCTTGGAAGACACCCCATTTTTACTACTCTACTCTGGAAGCAATGACATTTCTCAAATTTGCAAATCAAATAAATTTTAAAACTATCAAATTATATGTATCCATTTTCCTACACTCTTATGGTCCTGTTCCACCCCAACCCTTTTTAAAGAGGCCCAAACCTTCAACACTTCTTCAGTTACTATCTCTAGCCAAAGATTCTTCCATTCCACAGCTGGAAGGGAGCCAATAGACCCTTCATCACCCTGGAGACAGAGGCCAGTGGGCACCCAGCTAGCCTGTGGCCAAGCTGAAAGAAGGACCCAACTGTGGATTGATTAGCCACTGTGGCTCCCGGCCGGGTGGGCACCACTCACGGCATCTGCAGATAGGACCCCTCTGCTCCACAAATAACTCACTGCTGACATACACTAGACGGAGGCTCCAGGGAGCCGATTCCAGCCCTGAGTGCTTGCTGTTCATCAGTGGTGTGCCTGGGCAGCTGCTGGAGGCACAGCCGGAGAGCTAGACGCCCACCTAGAGGGTCTCTGAATCCCTTCTGCAGCCATGTCGGTCTGTTAAATTATTCCTCCTTGTTTTGGCTAATAGAACTACTACAGATTTTACGATATCATTTCAAACACACATTTCTTTTAGAAAATCTTAAATATCTTTTCCTTTATACTGTGTATTTCTTTCCAATGCTTTGAAATAGCAATGACTCTGCCAGCCAGGGTTTCTCCTCTTTGGCAGGCCGATTTTATCAAACGCATGAGAAGTACGCTATCTTGAGTCTTTGCTGTGAAATCCGACTCCAAAGCTGGAGCAAGGCTGGGGATGTCCCTGCCTTTGTACACACAGTCTCTCAGTCACGGTCACCTTCTCCTACAACACTGCACGTGCAGTTCCTGTACTTCCCTGATCTCCAGGCTTTCAGGCTCCTGGGGGCACTGGATATAAACTAGAGGAAATGCTATAGAACAAAATACTTAAGAATCTGCACCCAACTTAGCTGCCATTAGATGTAGGTTCTTAAATATTTCCTCATAATCCTTTAAGTAAATTTAATTATAATATTATATATTACATATAAGTTCATTATGTTAATTTAATTCAATAAAATGCAAAGATCAGTAACAGCTATTAAGAGTAACAAGCTGAAAATTTCTCCGTTTGGTTTTCAGAAGAAACTGAAAAAAAAAATGATGACAACTGGTTAACAGATTCTAGATTTTTCATTCTATAAATGTATGTACACTTCATATAAACTCCATACATAACAAATCTTCTCTTGCTACATGTGTGAAATGATTGAAATTCAAAGAAAAGTTCAAAATCAATTACATGTAAAACTCTGCCAGATCCTTTCCAACAAACTTAGCAGACCGAATCCTCCCAATACTTGTATACATTTCAATGGTAGCGTGGGACAGATCCTGTGGAAAGATAAAAAAAAAAAAAACCAACACATAATTGTACTTTAATTTTAATGCTATACAAATCTGACATTTATGTACCCAACACTGAAGCAGAAGATTTATTAATATAACTTTTTTTACTTTGCATTTACTTTCGTGTTGTTATTTTGTACTATAATTTATACAAAGTCATTAACTTGTACATAAAATTATGAAGCATAATAAAAAACTATAAATTTTTTATCAGTAGACATAAAATATTCAACTTGTCAAAGCACTTTCCGTATGTGGGTAGCACTTCAAGTATTTTCCTCAGTCTTTGGACAACAAGGACAAACTATTAAAGGCTGTGTCTAAGTTCGTGAGTTAACCATGACTCGAGTATGCAGTTGACTTACCGAATTTCTACCTGTACTGCTTTCTAAAGTCCCAAATTTAAATCTTTTAAAATCAAGCACAATAACTGTTCAAGTCCAAATTATTCCTTGTCCATGGAAAACCATTCACTGTCCTCTGTTACAATTTCTATTCTATCGCATGAACAATGCCATTTGAACAAAATGATAAATATGTGAAGATGAGCCTGTGCCTAAGTATGGCCCCACAAGTGCTAATAAACATCTGATGAACAACAACCCTTCCAGGTTTTACCGACAACTCCCTAGGGCACCGAGGAAACAGAAAGGGCAACAAGAAGGAGGTTCCATCCCTGGCCGGTGTGGCTCAGTGGATCCAGTGTTGGCCTGTGGACTGAAAGGTCGCCGGGGCAACCAATCTATGTTTCTCTCACACATGTTTCTCTCCCTCTCTTTCTCCCTCCTTTCCCCTCTTTCTAAAACAAATAAATAAAATCTTAAAAAAAAAAGAAGGCAGCAGTCCCAAATCCCATCCCCAATTCAAAAGGTCACACAGCACCAAAAAGTCTTCTATAGTTGGGTTTTCTGCTACGGATAGACAGGAGACAACACATCAAATACTTACTAAGTAGTGTTTCTCAAAAGCTTCTACTGATGACAATGCCTCTTTGAGTTTCTTATAAGGACTCTGAGCTGTGTTGGCTTAAACAAAAAAAAAAAAAGAGTTCTTATTCATCTTTGTTATTTCCAGACACACAAGTTCACACTGCCCCTCACCTGCCGCAGGGAGGTGACTTCATCTGACACTTGGGGAAACCACAAACACAGCCACGCAGACCGAAACGGCAGCATTACCTACATTCTTGTCCGATAAATAAATGCATGAAATAGTCTAGACCCTTCACATAAGACTCTTATCTCTGACTGAGATTAGAATTTTTAAAAGTATGTATTCCAAATCCTCCAATGAATCAAATTCCTGCCAAAATGACCTGAGGCGATCTCCGGGTGAAACAGTGCGATGCCAACGTTACACATTCTCCCTCCCAGACGTACATAGTTGAGCAGGACCCCTCTCAGTTCTCTAGGTACTCCTGGTGTAGCAACAGTTCTGCTAAGTCATACTCATCACTCCTCTCGTACCCAAAGGAACTAGTAATGCTCCTTTCAAAGTGCTTTATTACCTCGGAGTAATCTATTGAGGGAAAGGATTTGTCTGGCCATATTGTTAGAACACTAAATCATCTGTTAATTCGCAGAGAGGCTGGTGCATTTAAAGGTCACATGAGCTGTAAAAAGTCATAGTCAGCTCATGGAAGCTTATGAGAAAGTCAGACCCCATTTTAAGGAACCTTGCAGCAATTTCTTAAATGAGTTCTAACATTTCTCTACGTTACTAAAAGGTAAAATATTCTCCATATTAATCTAGCCAGCTAATAGTGACTGCAAGTCCCGAACAGTTAGCTATTATATTGTTAGAATTTGAATTGCATGTGCCAAGATACAACCAACATTTCATGACTTTCTACTGTACCACCTGCACAGGTACAACACAGAAAGTACCTGTTTCGGGTCGCTCAGCTCCCAAACCTGCCAAAAGATCAACTGTTCTATTGAGGTCTTCTGAGTTAGGTCCTCTTTCAGACACAAGCCCACACAGGTAGCCCAAGGACTTTAGCTGTTGAGATAAATCCATAATTTCAATTAATTTGCCATAAAGGTCAGCAGAGAATTTATAAATTTAAACATAAAAGTTAAAATCCAACTAAATTTTAGAAGAAATTTAGTTTTCCCATCTAAGTGATTCTTATCTGGATATAAAAATATATCTTACTGGGATCAGTTCAAATTCCTATCTTCCACACAGTAATTCTCAGAGTGGCTCTGAGGTTGGTAATTCTCAGCTTATGCCATTCACCTGCCCACCTGCTCTCAGGCTTTCGAGGTCTCCCACTCCATCTGCACGCCACCCACTGCCCACATGGGACCACGCCACATCTCCATCCCTCTCACACTGCATCCTTGTTTGTAGACCGGCCCCACCCCAGCAGCGTTCGGAGAACCACACCTTCAGCACCAGCACAGCCAGTGTTTCACCTGTGCTGAACAAGGGGCTATGAGTAGGAGCCACTTAGGCCATGGCTGTTACTAGGCACGGCCGAAGGCAACGAGAACTGCCCGCAGGGTGCCTAAGTGCAGAGCACTCTAGCAAGCAGCATATGGAGCCCACCCCCGAGCGGCACAGCCCCCAGGCAATGCCTGCGTGTGCATTCGGGGCAGTCACCTTCTCTGTGGCATAGCTCCATAAACCCACAGTGTGGGCAATGTTCGAGTCTATCTGCGCCCGGTCACAGCAGCCTTCTATCCTCTGCAACACCTCCAGGCAGCTCAGAAACACCCAGCAGTCCAGGGCGCCGGGCGGGACAGAGACCTGGGGGGCACAAGAGTGGGAGCGTGAAGAGGGCGCTCGGGGAAAGCACCCAGGCCCACACTTTCTCATCTGCCCTTTCAAGCCGATACCCAGTCTAATAGTGCTCTCACCTGCCAAGCTGTAGAAAAGAATAAGGGGGCAATAACAATAATTACACCAGTTCATGTACCAAAAGGTAGGAGTGATCTATGTCCAAACACATGCCTTGGATGATGTGAATGACTTGGCTGGAATATAACTTTCAATAACAGATTTTTTTTTGTATGCTTATAAAGAAAAGAAGCCTACAAGAAGGCCAACTAGCATCGCTTACTCTAAGTTTGCGACCTGGTCACATCTCAGTTTGAAGAACACATATTACAAAGAAAGGAAGCTAAGGCCTCAGATGACCACTGAGTCAAATTTCAGACATATCAAGTACCAGAAATCTAAGCATTACATAGATAGTAGATGGCATTTAGAAATCACTGTTAATTTTTTAGGTGTGATTACATCTCTAAAGATGAGCTCCTGTTGCTTAGAGATACACACTGAACCATTTACAGACAAACAAGGCATGGTATCTAGGGTCTGCCTAAAAAAATCATTCCAGGGGAGGCGAAGGGGCGCAGACGGCACAGGAGGTTGGCACATGCTGGCTGCGGGCAGCTGTAGCTGGTGATGGGTACCCAGAAGTTCCTTTTATTATCCTCTCTACTTCTGCATCTATTTGAAGTGTTACATTAAAAAACAACAAAAACCAATGTGATGTTATGCAAAAACATCTACTGTACATGATCAATTATTATACACAAGGTCCTCTTCTTGACAGTTTTGCATCTCTGAAATCAGAATGTGTCTCAATCAATGGCATCATAGCACTCACAGGTGGCAGTGCTGACTGCTTTCTTGGTGGCACTAACATTGTGGCCTATCTCACAACTGGCACGCTCTTCAGGTGAGATGGTCATGGGTGCCATTCAAAGTGGGAGCCTACAAGGTAATTCTCTGTCAGGGGACGAGCGACCGGCTGCACGATGCTGACACGACTCCTTCTTGTGTAAGGACTCCCTCAGCAACCCTGAGCACAAATAAAAGGGCTTGGAACCAACGAGAAGGAACCGGAGAGCCCCATTAAATGGTCCAAGGAAAGCTAAATTGTCTGGTCTCTGAAAAATGAGATTAATTACTTAGAGCCTTTTAAAAGAAAAATCAGCATAGAAAAAAATTACATGATCAGAAGCTACTTTCCTAAAATGGCACAACTTTCTCGCCCAGACAACGATCCATGCCCAAAGGGATGCGCAGACAAGCGGCGGCAGAACCGGCTCTGGGTCCTTGGACAGGGTGCGCCCCTCCCTCCCCGGTCAAACCAGGGCGGGGTCTGATCGGGCGGCCCTTGCCTCACGGGCCTCCTGGTTCCAAGGTGCCAGGCGAGCTGGGTACTTTCCCCTTACAAGACACCACCACACAGGTACCAATCTGTGACACAGGCCACTGGTCCTCAGGCATACACCAGTTATTCACCAGAGAGGATAAAAGACAGGGACCGAACGGGCTCTACACAGTGCTTTAGGTTGAGTCCTGTGGCTCAGAGGACTCCGAGGAAACACAGGCGTCACAGCGGGGCACTCTGAGAGGGGAGCGCTAGTCACAGCAGGCACCAGCAGCCAGCGGCGGAGGCCGGCTGGCTGGCTCCTGGGACCAGGTTGCCCCTACCCCTGAGCCCTGGGTCAGTCTCCAAAGCCTGTATGAGTGAAAACAGCAGAGAGAGAGCGATGGGCCCGTGGCACACATCTCTGTGCGTGGGAAGAATCAAGAGTCACACGCCATGATGGGAACAGTGGGTCACTTTGTTTTCTGCAAAGAGCAAGCACCAGTTGGTAGGTATGAAGAATGGCATGTGAAAATAATACCATCAGTCAGCAGCAGGTTTTCTAGGTGCAAAAACACACCTAGTGTCCACGACGGGAAATTCCCCTTGCAAGCCGGAGGAGGCCAACGCCAGCAGACGGCACGCTGACCCCGGCACGCTGATGGGGTGCCCGGCCCTGCTGTCCAGACACAGTGCTGGTTTTATGGACTGAAACCTGGCGCCTCCTGGCGGTCCTGCCCAGGGGGAGTCACACACTCCCTGTGGTCCCCCGCATCCCATCCAGGGCACACACTCGCTCCTGCCACCAGGCCTATTCCGTAACTGCAGTGCTCTAACTGCTCCTATTGTTCAGTAACTGCAGGGCTGTAATTGCCCCTATTGTCAGAGTCTTTAGCAGCTTCCTACATTTCCTATCACACAGCTGTTTAAATTTTCACTGAAAGACAAAGGCACATGAATTGGTATGTCACATGGCATCTTAAGACACCTGTGATTGGTGCCATTTGCCTCTTACATTGTCACTCACTTGTGTGTGTCCATCTGGGGTCCCAACCAGACTCCAACTAAACACCCCAAAGGGACCAGCGATCCTGTTTCTTCTCCACACATTTCAAAGGCCTGGCAAAGATGGGCTCCAGGACAGCCGGAACTTTAGTCACGGTCACATAAGACTTTGGGAAATTTTAGTGAAACTTATTTAAAATGACGGCAGTGACACTTTTTCCATTGCTTTAAAAAAAAATAAGTTACAAAATACATACAGCGAGGTATGTAAAGGGCACAAATCCTAAATTTAGAGCTCAGTGGAGATACATCTGTCACTACCACTCAAACCAAGAAAGAAACCATCTCCTTTATCCTAGAAGGTTCCCTTGAGCCCCCTTCGCAGTCAACAGCCACCCTCTACTCTGACTCTGTCACCAGCAATGCCTTCTGCCTGACTGCTGACCTTCACACAGCCCGAGTTACTCGGCCCGAGCTCCTCTGCACGTGCCGTCTCTCAAGGGACAGGACGTCAGCACAGCTCACCCCTGCAGCGTCCATCGGCAGCTCGCTCCACTTTAATGGGGGGCATCGGCCTTTCTCCGACATGCCACGGTTTCCCCATCCATCCCCCTGCTGACAGGCATTTGGGTTGTTTCCAGGGTTTGGCTGCTACAGACAAAACGACTGCAATGCTGCCCACCCAGCAGAGCTCTGGGCTCTGCTGTCTCGTTTGAAACCAGGAGGTGGGCTCAGTGACTCTTGACAATTCACATTCCCTAACAAGAAGGATGCTGAGCCTCTTCCAGACTTTTGAGAGGTTTGGAAGACCTCTTTTGTGAAAAGCAGACGTGTTAAACTGATTTCTTAATATGTGTTCTTTAGTTTGCTTCAAGGCCTCCTCCTCTCCCCCTACCACAAGAGCCATTTTACCGCTTTCAAAGCGTAAAAGTGTTTTCTTTTTTCTGTTCAAGCCGTACTCATTTTTTCTGTAACCCAAATACCGAAGAACGGCACCCTGCACGCACCGCCGCCTGCCCGCCAGCCCGGGGAATCAGCCGCAGCGCCCCCGTCAGGCCCCTGGCCAGTCACCGCCCCTTCACAGGCCCTCACTGGCCAAACCCTCATGACAGACGGTCTCTGCTGCCCCTTGAACTTTGCACACAAGGAACTAAGTATGTATTCTTGTGCCTGACTCCTTGAGCCCTGCTTTGCGTTGGCGATACTCGCCCCCCGCAAGTCTGTTGGTTTGCACCGCTGGCTGCCTCCCACGGCCTGGACACACTGCAGCGGCTGTGCCCCTCAGAGTGACGAACACGGGCGTTATTTCCAGTTCCCAGCAGTTAGGGATAATGCTGCCACGAGCCCTCTGCATGTGCCTTTGGGAACACACACATATGTGTTTCTATCTACACCAGGGTATGTTGTGTTCAGCTGCATCAGATGGTGCCAAGCAATTTTCCAAGGCAGTGGCACCGACCCCGCTCCTCCTCCAGGAGTGTGGCCCGGTGTCTCCGCCCTCTCAGCGACCTGTCAGGCCGTTTTAGCCACCCTGGGGCGGAGGAGGGGGCTTCGTTGTGGCTTTTGTTTAAATTGCATGATGATTAACCGATGCACGTGCTTTTGTCAGTGTTTTATGGGCGATCTGTGGGAGCTGTGTGTCCCGGGTGAGAGTCGGTGCTAACCACACATTTCCCAGACACTGCTCCACTCTGTGCTGGCCTCCCACTCACTCCGTGGTACCTGCAGATGGAGAGAAGGTCTGATCTCCATGTCGTCTAGTTTATTACTCTCTTCCTTTGTGGTTAGCGTCCTTTGGTCCTATTTTAAAAATATTTGCTACTCTCAAGGTCAAGAAGGCATTCTCCCATATTATTTTCTAGAAGTTTTCTTGTTTACATTTCATGTTTAGGTCAAATCTCCACCTGGAATTAATTGTGTGTGGTGTGAGATCAAGACTTCTTTTTACATGTATTCAGATGACTCCAAACCACTTATTCATGGAATAAATTTTACTTGTGTCCGTTTATTTAAAACCCACCCCTCTGCCTTAGGTCAGAACTTCATCCTTTCTTCCTCAGATTATGGCAGACGCCTCTAAGTCTTCTCCCTGCCTCCACCTAATTCTTCACCCTCTCCGCCCCCGAGCCCACCAGATCCCAACACCTGACGTGGCAGCTCCGCCTAAAACCCAACAATGGCTCCCGCCCGGCTCTACAATACAATCCACCCCTCACAGTGGCAGGCAGGCACTTTCCTAACCTCCCTTCACAGTCTGCTTCCAGCACCTCTGCAGCCTTCACCTCCAAGCCCTGTCTCACCCCTTAGCATCTAACAAGACTAAGATCCTTTATAGTTCCTTAAATAAAACATGGTCTTCTCCACCAGAAGTGCACTCTTGCACTTGCCACCATGAGCCACGTTGACCTGCTGAATCCTTACTCAGACTACTCATTCCACTGAACGCAGCTCCGCAGGGTAGGGGTCTGGCCTGCCTTGCTCTCTGCTGAAAGCACAGTGCCTAGAAGAAATGCTTGCTTGCTACAAAATAGGTGCTCAATGAATCTATGTTGTCTGAATGAACCTTTTAAAACCCAGCTCACAAAAGACCCTCTAGAACCCTTCCCAAGCACACGTCAGGCACTGCACAAACACCAAATGA